TGACAATAAGAAATTAGTACACCTGCCTTTACTTGAGCAAACAATAAAGCAAACACGCAGATAGTGCACGTTGTTTCACCGTTTTAGAAATAAGACACCACTTTCAGAAATTATACATAATAAACCAAAAGTAAGACACACTATTTAGTTTGTCCGCATTAAGGCATACTTTGAGGGATTATGCAGTTTCAATCAATAAATGTATAAAAGGCTTTGAAAGGGGTGGGAGGGGCCCCGGGGGGGGGGGGGGGGTGAGGGCGGTAAATAGGCAAAGTGAGGCAAGGCAGACAATGGAAAGTTTACACGCAGCAGGCTCAACTGTAGCCATTTCATTTGATCTGACTCTGTCGCATACGTGTAAAGAAAAAATGTAGCACAACGACGTTGCACCACCGAAGGGGGACTCGGCTGGTGACAGGCCACCTTTCCAAAGCTGCGAAGTGTCGTTCACATCTGCGTCCAAGTTCCTGCCGAATTCGATCTGCAAGGTTTAGAAAGACGACGGTTAATAAACATGAAGGAACGGAAAGCGACAATACTTGTTTATACCTTTAACTACATATATTCAGCAAACTGAAACTGGGTGCGAAATTAAAAAACAAAACAAAAACAAAGCAAGCATCGCAAATGAGGAATGAAAGAATACAATTAAGATTTACATTCGAATGAGATGAGTATGCACATATCACCCCAACCAGGTAATATTCAGAGCCAATTTAGAGAATCAGTACACGAGATGTATCGTCCACTTCAACCCCTGCTACACTGTTAAAAAAAACCGTAAAATTACAGGGAGCGCCAACGGGACCAGAGCCGCTCGCGAGCCGTCGTTGCCGTTTCGCCGTAAACCCCTCCACCGCACCCGAACGAACAGACATAGCCGGCGCGCTGCGCAGGCGCAGTCAATGCAGCCCTTTTATTCGGAGAGGCGGAAGGTCACGTGAACTTCTTTCCCGCGCTCCCGTGGGACGCTGTCCGCGTGAAGGCACCCCTGGCGCATGCGCAGTGAGCGTGTCGAGGCAGATCCCGCGCATTTCGGCGACTTTGTGGACGTGTTTTTGGTTCGCCGCACTCAAACCTGGAGATTTCACGGTAAGTGCATTACATCCCTTTCCTTGAACTGTTTGATGAATACCTGTCGCACCACTGTTTTCTTAGATGAGTCGAGCAGTTGTCTGGATTCACTATTATGCATTGCTCGCCACAAGCGTGTGCAGACGATGTGCGCCTCGCGCTGGAGGTGCGTAGCGTTTAGGGTAACGGGGTCTTTGCCTTGTTGCTTTCGTGTGTTACTCTAGCATTATCACGAGACGTAGTGTGTCGGTGTTCTACGTTTTTCTTGCTCCCTTCTTAGTTAAATATTATTCGGCTACGTGAAACGCTCTTGGTTTAGCGCTCCGCTGGAAAGGCAGAGGTCCCTGGTCCGGTTCGAGGACCATGCACGCCGATTTTTTCGGTAGCTGCTTGTTCGACATAACGTGCTGTTCAGGTGCAATTTGTTTCGAAACATGCAAAGCGACACAGTGCAATGAGGTTTCAAGTGCCCACAATGATATACTATATACGTTTGACCGAAGTGTAAAAAACTAGTGCCAAAATTCCTTTTTTTTTTTTTTGTGCGTTTGTGCCGAGCCGACATTTAGCTTCCGTGCACTCTCATATTGTTACGGTAGACTTGTGTGGATTTAGGAAACTTTAAATTGATCGATTCGACCTTCGTGTCGAACACTGCCAGTACTCAAATGCTTTGCAGTACGTCTTTAAGTCCGCGGTCTTTTTTTTTTTTTTTTTTGAGTTCGTTGAGTTTAGTTTTCTCCATTCTTTGGTGCGCTACAGTGTAGCGACGGCGCCGGACTCTACGTAATGAGTCATGACTGAAACACATTTACGAAAAGCGGCCAAATTGTATGAAGAAATCGCAAACGAAAATCAGACAGCAGCTCCTATTGCCTTTTTTTTTTTTTCGGCGGGGAAACCCGGAGGGGGACGGAGCGATGTCGCAACGTTACTTCGGGAGTTCCGTCCGTTCCGTCCCTCTCCGGGTTTTCTACGCTATGGCGCAGCCGCGGCAGCCGCCGAGGCTGGTTGAGTGTTTCCGCGGTTTTTGATCAGCTTTGTACGAAGACTGATTTTCGCCGATCTTTGTCGTGTTACGTGTATGTGGTGAACGGAGCATTGCGGAGACTGAGAATTATGTGGGCTGTTCGCTGTGTTGTGGCATTCGGGCAAAGCAAGATCGCGGTGAGTTTGCTCGTGTACAGTCGGCGGTAAAAGTTTGCGGGGCGCGGGAGCGTCAGCCGAAATGACTGGTTGCGCCTTCTGCGGCGCGCGGCCGCTCGCAAGATTCACGCTTCGAGAATGTGCTTCCTTTCGTGCTCGAAGCCATGACTTTTTCGCTCGCTTCCGCCCGACGTGCACGAGATAACCGGGGACCGGCGCAAGGTGCCGCTATGACAGCCCTCACGCCGCGCGTCTGCCTCAGCCACCGTGGTGGGTGACGAAGCTCGCGCATGCTACAGATAACATTTCGCGGCACCTTGCGCCAGTCCCAGCTATATATCGTGCATGTCGAACGGAAGCGAGCGAAAAAAGCATGACCGCGAACAAAAAAGGAAGCGCGTGCGCATAGCGTGAGTCTTGGAGCAGCAACGTGCCGTGAGAAGGCGCAGCCAGTCTTTTCGGCAGGCGCTCCCGTGCCCCGCAAACTTTTGCTCCCGACTGTACGTTGGCCGATGCTCGTGTCGGTGCACATCTCAATCTCAACTAAACATCGAGCGCCGATTGTGGCTGACTCCATGCATGTAAGAACGAATTAATCTAACAGGAACTTCGTGAATAAGAACGAGGCAAGCGTGTGGCTGTAGAAGGATGTCGTGACCGGTGGCATACGTACACTGGTTTCCGCACGTTGCTTCTGTTTACTTTATCTGTTGTAATAGCAGTCTTTGTACCGGTGCGTGAAGGCCTCGGTTGCTTCGAAAACCAAAGCTGATACAGCCAGACTCTTTTTATCCGATGATTCTGTCAAGTCCTAATCACGGTGTCATATATATATATATATATATATATATATATATATATATATATATATATATATATATATATATATATATCAAGAGTGCACGTTTGGTGTTGTTTGCATTAATTTTACTGCGGAGGACGTTGCCTTTTGTGCGGGATCAGTCTTCTCGTGTAACTTGTCTTCCAAATTTGCGTGCAACAATTTTTGCACCCTCCGATTTCCGTTCTATATTCGGTTTCTTTTCTTGTAAATGTGTTTCAGCCTTAACATTTTGCCGCGGCGCAGCTCTGTTCAGAGAAGAAACGGTCTCAGCACAGCAGGGTGCACGAAGCGCGTCGTGTGTTTAGAGAGTGAAAAAGAAAATGAAATTGGGCAAGAAATGATTTGGTAACTGCACTGTAATAAGTGGCTGCCAGCAGTGAAAAAAAAAAAAAGAGATATGTTGCCTTATAGTTGGAGTTAAGTCATCTGCCTTATTGTAGTATTTGAGGTAGAAAGGAGAACAAACTAGATGCCTGGGCCGGCTTGCAAGAGACAGCGTCTCGGTTGAGACTGCTCAAAGAAAGCGCTGCCAAGGCTCGGGCGCGCGAGCGTCTAGGACTCGGTTTAAGCTCTAGCACTAGCCTTGACAGCGCTTTCTTTGAGCAGTCTCAACCGAGACTCTGCTTCATGCAAGCCGGCCCACATATCTAGAAAACCAATTTTCTGCCCCAAAAGGTGGTAAAAAAAATGTGTCGCATTACTGTGCAATTGCGGGGCGTTAGCATGAAACATTTTCGCGGTAGACTGCAACGCAAACAAAAAATGGAAAAGAAGAAGAAAAAAAAAAAAACAGTAAGTCCAGCGCGAAATGCTAGGGAAAGGAAGGTGGGAGTGGAGGAAGCAGATGGATAGCTGGCAAGGAGAGGAGGAATTTCCCTTGCCAGCTTTGTTTACTTACTCCTTTCCATGTTCCTTTCCCTTGCCCTTGGCAGCAGTTTAAATCAAATAGCGCTGCGTCGTCCTGGCTTTCATTGCACTGCTCAAGCTATGAATGACAAGGCGCTATACCATTCCAGCCCAGCTCTGTTCACCTGACCTCTCAAGCCAAATGCACAGAAGCGAAAACCTAGCCAACCTAGCCGAACGCTTCACATGACAATTACTGCGGCCATTCATATCACTGCCCAATGTTAGCATGCTAGACTGTAGCTCCTCATGGCTAAAACCTAAAAGAACACGGAAACATAGTTTTGTATGTTAAGACTGGACGACAAGACGACACGCACGCTGCAGGTGTAGACAGGCAGGTGCAGCTGTTCTATCTTTCTGGTGTAAATAGAAACATTGCCTTCAGATTAACACAGAACATTGAGGATGGCTGTTTTGTACTTCAGTTTAAACACAATGTTAGTTTTGAAACTTGATGAAAGGTCACGTTAAGTGCTTTATAATCCTTACTGTGTTCATTTCTAGATAGGTGTATGTTTATGCTGTGTGTCATTATCTTCACAAGCACAGTTGATTTAATGTTCACTGACTTCAGTTGTGGCAGGAATAAAAAAATTTGGGGTCAAGGATTAATATCTTTGGATTAGGACTTCGCCATGATTGCTTCGAATATTGGTAATGTTTCAGGTACCTTTATAAAAATGCAAAGATCATGTGTTTAAGTACAAAATCGTGGAGAGAAAAATGTTTTTTTGCAGATCTTGTGACTTAAAGTAGACCTTCAATCCGAAAAAAGAAAGCCAAATTGTTCAGCTCTCATGTCGTCTTAGAATATTGTATTTCTCAGGGTCCCAACAAACATGTTCAATATTAAATCAACTTGAAATAAACCAAGCACTCCTTTTTGGTTATAGATGAGACATCACTGCAAAAGATGCCAGAAAAAGTTTACATCATTGGACACGTTCTTCAAGCACACATTATATCATGAAACATCATCAAGAGGTGTTCCATGCAGCGTTGTCAGCTGTGAGGCTCCATTCAAAAATTACAACTCATTGCGAAGCCACATCACAAGGTGTCATTCTCCGCTTGCACCTCGTAATGCAACTAACTTCCAATCCTGCCGGACATGCAGTGTTAGTTCCTGCAGTGAAGAGGTGAGCCCTGGAAAGGCTTTTATCGAGCACCTCAAAAAACATCTCACCGGCAACCCGCCAACTGTTGTAACTTGTCCAGTTGATGCGTGTGATAGCCAGCTTAGGACATGGGGTTCACTCAAGACCCATCTTTCCATATACCATGGGAATGGAAAAAAAAATCAGTGGTGACAGAGCCAGTAGAGCAGGATGAAATAGTGACGTCATGCTGTAGCAAGGATGACAATGGTCTGGAGAACATTAGGGAAAAACCAGACGTTGAGAGTGAAGTGCCTTCAGTCATTGATGATCTGGATCCCACTCACTTAGATCAAGACTCTTTCCTTTTTAAAAAGGCAGAATATGTTCAGTTCTTTGCAAGAGTCACTCACTTCTAAAACAAACATACACTATTATGCTCATAAAAAGGTGCTTTGAACGACGAATACGATTGCTACTTTCACCATACAGTGGTCCTTGCAGATTTCTTTCCTTCAATATTTTGCTTTTCCCAAAAAGGTATTTTGATTACAAAGATTTTGGATATGAGGAGTCAGTGATAACATGAATTTTTTAAGGCTTACAGGTGTCTGTCTGGACGGAACATTGAGCCTGCCCAAAGATGTCCTCCTCCTCGTGACATGCCTACGTTCAAGCCCCAAAAATGATGCTGTGCTCGAGTGGAGCCTCAAAATCAACAAGGCCGAGGCAGAGTTCAAAGATCAAAACGCAGCAGCTGTCTGCCTCCTCCCATTGCTTGCATCCTACTTTCAAGAAAACCTCGGAGAGCTCTTCCAGTTACATCAGGTAGGAGCATTCATAATAACCAGTTTGTTTCCAAAGACACATCCTCATGACCTTGTTGAAAATAACTTCCTGGAAGTCTCACACAGGCAGTCAGCATTCCACTGAGAAACTATGCATCTGGAAATACTAAACTTTTCTTCATTTTTTGAAATTTTCAGCTATATCAGTCTTCCTGTATACCGTAACATACCGGTCATGCACCTATGTCCGAATAGGCGCCTACCTTGTGATTTTTAACCATTGGAGCAATGCTTTGTACTCTTTCTGCAGTTTCGCTTTCTGAGCGACCATCCCCCCACTTTTTCAGAATTGTCTGCAAAATCTTTGTGAACGCTTTCTTGGTATCTGACGACAATGCTGATAAAGAGCACGTAAAAAGTGAAATTACTATTGCTCTACGAGGAGCCAAACCTTCCTTAATCTTTTCCTGGCTGAGGTGGCTCAACTTATTATACTTCACATTAGAGTGCAATGGGAAGATATGCAACTCTAGGCTGGGTCATCTTATAGTATGTTCTACATAAATATTTCACTAAACCAAAGGGGGAGCGGCGGTGGGCACCCACTCTTCTACCACTTGCTTCTAATGGGTTCACATGATGTTTTGCATTTTTGGGATCGAGTGTTAGAGTTAACACAAAAATTATGCTAGAGAATTAACTAGTGACAAACGTTTGTACTTCCACTTCGACTCCTAAGTTAGGATCATTTGTTTTTAATATTAGCAGCTTCCTTGTCCCGCAGGTGTAACAATGAGGCTTTGTGACAGATATCAGCAGATACATTGCTGCTTATTTAACATTGTTTTTAGTTGTTATTGAGCGTTAGGACAACAAATGTTTGTAGTTAAAAATGTCCTTATTAGTGAGAAAATAACAGGAACTGCATCCTTTAATCTCAGCAAACGCTATCTCCTGTAGGTGGGATGAAGGGTTAAAGGAAATAAGGGTGAGATGAAAATAAAGTGGGTGAGATGAACCTCTTTCACATAAGTGAGGGGTGAATGGAGAATAGCCTTTTGGTATTCCCGAATACCCGTGGGATTAACAGACTCTTTCAAGGTTTGGGGTTCTTGCATGTGTGGGCAGTACCAGGAGTGCGCTTCTGAGACTGTGACCTCGCAGTGGGCGCATAGGCTCTTGTCTTTTTCCTGTGTATGGCGGCTGATGCACCATGTTCTTGTGGGTGTTACATTTTGCTGTTTCCTTGGAAACCATAGTGGTGTGGGTCCGTTGTCTTTTCAGGCGAACCTCTTCCCACCTGGTATAATTACCATCTGGGAGTGGGTCTAAGTCTTCTTTGAGTAGAGCCGTGAGGTGTTTTCAGTGGGCCTGTTGTTTGGCTTCCTGGGAGAATAGGGGATCCTTTGTGTCTTTTTCAATGAAGGCGGCGCTGTTGTCACCAAGGATAGTAAGGATAAGGGAAGACAGGAACTCGCATGCGGCGGCAGACACTGTTTTATTTACTTGGGAATGGTTTGGTGTACCAGGAAGCAGTGGATTTAAAGTTGTCGGCCTTCCTGCCAGAGTCCTTTGAATGTGCCCCACACTCGTCGTGTGTTATCTCGGAGCTTGCACCTCAGTTGTTTACGGAGCTTCTGGGTGTATTTTTTATCTTCACCATGCTTGCACTGAAATTGGCTTGGAGTTTTCAGTCCTTATTTCTCCTGTAACATTGTTGGGCTCGCACTCTGATAGCACACAAGTTGAGGAGATGAAGGTCTGGGTCGTCTTGTTTGGCTTGGTACTTCTGAGTGGATGTGGCTTTCATTCATTATCCGCTCACCTAGACACTTTTTCAGGTGCTAGGTTAATGAAGCTGATCTGTCATTTAGTGTTGGGGTGTCTTTCTGTCATTAATTCTATTTCGACGGGTAGGTGCTTGCTTCCCAAGGCGTCGGAGCAGTTCGCCCTCGGGCTTGGATGTTGTGTATGGCCCATGTCAAGTCTGTTGTGGTGTCGTTCTCAGTGCGACGTTTGCCAATGCGAATGGCAGTCTGTTTTTCTTTGAGAATTCATAGATTGGCCTGCTTGGCGGGTGTGAAGACATTGCACTCTCTGTCATTGTTTCGCTTGTATCCCCATATTCGTGCATCTGCGGTAAAGTCGCCGGCCATGATAAGTTCTTCTGGCATCATTCTTTGCGATCCGCCTTACGTCGTCTTGCTTGTGTCCCACAGTTCTACATTCTGTGGGAATAAATATAGAACCATAGATGTATGGTACCTTCACTAGCATTTCGTGCATTTCTCAATTAACCACACATGTTTTCTGACTTTTCTTAGGTGACAACAGAAATCACAGAGGAGTTTCGTAACAGTCTGCCTGCTTCTCCTGTAATTGTTGCACTGGGTGAGCTTCATGTGTCTTTTCCTTGCATGCTTTGTATTTTTGAAGGTGCTTTCTTTTTTAATTTGTGTTGAATTTTGGAACAACAACCTAGACCGTTTTATCGTGGGTAGTGCCATTTTGAGAGTGAGAGAGAGAAGAGGGGTCAGTGCAGATGACTCCTAGTGACTCAATTGTAGTGGGATACTGTAGTGGTGTAACCAGAGTGCTGGAATACTGCAGTGGTGTAACCAAAGGGTGGTGTGCCGATTTTGACCAGAGCTAGATAGACGACCACATTGTTTGGTTTCGGCAGCCTTATCAAGCACCAATGTAAAGCACATGTCCTGGTATTATACCATACTTCGACAATCAATGTTTGATTGATCCAGCAAGAAAAAGAGAAGTTTTTATTTTGGTTTGTGAGTGCAGGTGCCACAAAACGGCATACAGCCCAAACAGCAGGTGCCTGTGAGGCATTTGATTGTTTGGACCTGCATTCTGTGTCTTGTCCAACCCGAACAGCCAAATTTTCTGCTCATAGAATGTGTGGTCGCATGCGGTCCCCGGTCATTTAATTTCTAGCTAAAGCAATTTAAACGAAACCGACGACTGGCATTGCACGTTGGCATCAGACTTCCATGCTACTGATTCTGTTCACAAACTCAACAAAAAGTGTTTGATTCTACATGCTCATATACAAATTTTATGTTTTGTTCAAACCTTCAGGAGCACTTTGCATAACTTAATGTCATTACTGGGTATGGTAGCTCAACACTATTTAGTGCGACCCTTATTTGGCTTGGCATATAAGGTGTGCCTTATCTGTGATTGTGATGCATCTGTCTCAGATCTCAGATATGCGTCACAATCCTATATCGGTGTGCCTATCTATTCAGTGTCCCTGCTGGTAATACCTCTATAGAAGGTTCCAGATGTGAATATGACAATGGTATTTTTTTCTTCATTTAATGCGTGAGCGTTAAAAGCCCTATTAGAGAAAAAGCCGGCGTAGTGGTGTCGGTCGCATGACTTTTCTGGTCACTTGACTAGATAGGTCGATACATCTGATACTAACACATTTTCTCCACATTAATTACATTAATCGCTTGTTTCTTTCGTAGGCTGCTCACTTTTCGAATGCAGCTGCCAGCTGTTTGTGGACCATGAGGTGATGGTGGAAGATGTGGGCTTTCTGCAAGCTGTGGAGCTCCTTTTCGCCTTTATTATTGTTTAAACATCCAGTATGCCAAAGGTGCGGGAACCACACTTGAGTTCATTCAGAGGTATGGTTTATTTCCTTCATAATTTTGAGCCTCATGAGAGGCAATAAAGAGCAACTCTGCTGAATTTTGGCTGAGAAAACGATTAGTTCTCTTTATAATCATCTAGGAAGGCTACAACTGAAATCTTTCTGTATATAAAATTGGACCCTCAAAGTTTGACAAGCGCTAATCTGCTAATTTTAGCGAGCGATGTGCAGGCTAGCCAACTTTGGCACTTCCTTCAGATGTGACGTCATGTTGATGTCTGTTGTATACACCGGCTTTTTTCTCTTTCAACGCCATCACATGTCCAGTCAGTTCAGACAACACTACCTAGAGTTGACCCAGTGAGTGGGGTAAATCACGTAATCATGCATCTGCCATGGACATGAGTGTGCATGCAACTGACGTCGCTGCTTGCCCTTTGCCGAAGTTTCGGTTTCAATTTGCGACTTGAGTTATAAATAGCAAAGTTGCACAAACAATATTCTACTTTTCGTGAAACAATGTAGAGTTGTTCATGAGTGCTTTTCAAAGTAAGGTCATCCACTATCTTGAAATTTTCTAAATTGAGTAGAGTTGCCCTTTAATTTGTCACTGGCTACCCACATTTCCAAGCTCAATTTCAGAGTCCATTATTAAACCGCAATAGGGTGTTGTATTCTTGGACCACAGAATGAATAAAACGTGCTCGGGACGAAGGAGACGACAAACATTTCTTTCAACTAAGAACAACAGGAATGAACTTAAGAGCACTCCGTGCAATTCAGACTGCCAAGAAAATGGAGAGAAAGGGAGGCAGGAAGATAAAAAGGAAAGTGTAAAGTTAGAATTGTAACTCATGCTGTTACTTCACTCTTTTTCTTATTTCCTTCCTTACAATTTTTGACACTTACCTTTCTCTCTTTCTGCTTCCCTTTCTCTCAATTTCCTTGGCGGTCTGAATTGAAGGAAGTGCGTTTAAGCTCATTCATGTTGTTAATTAAAAGAAATGTTTGTCGTCCTTCGTCCGGGTATGTTTTGTTCTTTCTGTGGTCTGTGAATTTTACCAACACACTCTTCAGTTACTTTAAAGGTTGTTATATCTTGCATAATAATTCGATTTAAAAATTTCACCTAATGTTACAATGTGACTATGTTTGATCCTATCCCAGAAATCACAAATAAATATGTCAATATATCTACTATTCCTATTGTTTTATCTTTACTGAATGTGTCATTTACTTATAATTCTATTTGGCATTCAGTTAGAAGGCAGAATCATAAGCAGTATACATCATTAAATTATTTTTGGCTGGAAACAAATTGGAGCCTCAAAATATGTTTAATATACTCAGCTAATTATTTATTTAAGAGTTTCTTTACTGCACCACACTATTCTGTATCACTCTAAAAGTGTCTAGAAGTGATATGTGCAGATGATCTCTAATTCATCTAATTCATAACTAAATTTGACTGATATACAACCTTTTCACAACTTTTTGAAGCTTTATTTCTGCATGTTTTAGTAGCATGTGGTTCATGTTTGATTTTGTACCTGAATACCTTTTTCTCGTCTTTATACATGTTTATCAATCGTATGTTCTTTCGACAGTGGCTGGCCAAAATGTGGCTTCCTAAAAAAAGAGAATGATTCTCTTACAACATTCCTTTTGCCATGTCTGGTGCTTTTAAGCAATCATTAACAGCTAGTTGAGTATTTTAGGTCATTCAACTGTCTGCAATACTAATTATGCAAATGAGTGCTTGCTTAATTACGAGTAGAAATGCAGAGGAGGAATTGCTTTGTGACTGTGTAGGACAACAGACAAATTTTAATGCTGTATTGTAATAAAAGAAATAAGCATGAAGCAGGGATGGGCAAAATACATGCAAATATGTATCGAAATACAAATACAAAATGCTTCGTCAAAAATGTATTTAATTACAAATCTAATTACTTTTGCAAAAAAGTATTTAAGTACAAGATACAAATACAGACAGAAAAGTAGTTGGTCTCTTCCAAATACTTTTCCAAATACATTCCTTAAAATTTGCGTCAGCGACTTCAGGGCACCTGCAACAGGTTTCTGGGTATCTCATTTTAATTTTGCATCGCACACTCGGGAGTTAGTGCTCGAGGCTCTAGTAACGTAATACAAATATAATCACAAAAAAAAATGTAATCAGCTTGGACGTAATAGGTGAAAAAAGTACAGAGCTTCAAGCAGTTTTTTTTTTTTTTTGATTACATTTTGGTATAGGCAATCAAAGGACCGAGACGACCAAGACGCACAGCACTAGCTACAGATTTTTTTATTGTTGCAACTCGCACCAGTTACAAACATCTGGATGACCCGCGCATTTAGAATGTTCGAGGCAAAAGTATGGATGGAAATCAGGCTGGAAAGCATCACAAGTTGTCACCGTCACTTATTTAGCCAGTCTGCCTGTGAACGTTGATTTCGTCACTATTCTTTCCCTGGACTAGCATCGTAATTACAAAGTCACTAAACGCTTGTGCTTGATTGAGAGACACTGCATTCGGTGCAGAACGTAGTTTTCTTCCTGCTCTGGACAGTGACAATAAATTTGAGGGATGTATTTTCGCCCACAAAATTGTATTTAATTACAATTGTATTTGAAATACACACGTTTTAGTATTTAAATACACACGTCAAATACATTACAGAATTTTTAATGAAATACAAATGCAAAATACACAAAGTATTTGAAATACGTAGTTCAAATACTTGTATTTGAAATACTGCCCATCCCTGGCGCCGAAGTATGTACTTGTTCTTCTGTTTATGTCGCTGCTATAAAATTTACTTTTGTTTGCTTCCAAAGCTTCTCCCAAATGACTCAAATCAATTACATTGCTGTCTGTTCAATATCTTTTTAAATCAACATGTTTTTAGTGTTTTGTAGGCCTAAAGGTTACATATATGAATCCTACCCCTTAAGATGTGCCACATGGGGCTTATAACTTCTGAAATATTCCGAGTTCTGTATCCCCATCGCATCTGAGTGAGAGAAGCCTTGAGTGCCAGATTTTCTCCTCTGTCAGAAAAATGACACATTATTACAATATTTTTTTTTGTTGTTCCCTCATTGTTTTATTTTCCTCAAATATTTTACATATTTTCATATTTTCATATTTTCTTTAAGTGCACAGTGCACAGTCTGCTGGCCTAAATGTAGGTTTTGCTCAGCTTGTTATGGCTTAATTGTTATTTTAGGAACCTTCAACACACTTATACATTTGAACTGTGCACCTATGTGACTCTGGTGGCAAAGCTTAGGGCTTTCGACATTAGTTGTGCATGTAAAATATCAGCAAGTACTGATCCCAAATCCTTCACTGCAATTTTTTTTCACTTGTCCGGTTTCTGACCAAATACTTATGGGCCAATCTGCTATTTGTTTCAGATACCAAGTTGGTATCAAACAACATGATGGGTCACGACAGGAGGCCGGGAGGTCGAAAGGAGCTCGGGCAAGAGCAATCAAAGCCGCCACAGATCTTGCTGCTTTTGAGAAAAAATGGAACAGTGTGAGTACATATTTGATTTGGCATGTGTACGATGCGGTATCAAAAGGTTTCCAGTCTTGTCTTGTATTAAAAAGAAAAGCAAATAGCGGCACGACACTGCATTCACAGGGGTCGAGGGCAGCAACCTTGATCTGTCATGGTGCTGAGTGGCTCAATGTATCAATGCACAGGCGAGTTGGTGCATGATTATAACTGGTAGCAGCATGCAAAAACACACGGACAAAGGGACGAATGCACAGGACTTCGGTGTTTCCTTTTCATTAAACATTTAGTTGAAGTTCAGCGCTCGCCTTGTGCATTTCCTCCCTTTGTCCTTGTGTTTTTGCGCGCTGCTACCAGAGGCTTAGAGCATCGCTCTGTGAGCTTGGGAGCCCCGCTGTACAGGTTTTTGTGACTTCATGTGCGTGCGCCTCTGCAATTTGTGCAAGTGGTTGTGGTCCACCCGTAGCCTTTTCAATCATCTGAATATGAATTTGTTTTATTTTCAGCTCATCTGATGATCGATCGGATGCCATGAAGGTTTCTTTATAATTATGTTCTTTTACGGTTTACAATATAGTTCTTCAATTTCAAAACTGCCTCCGTTTCGTCTTGTCCCTTTTTTCAGACACACTACACTTGTTTATAAGGATTTGTCGTTATATTACGGAACTGTACTGCGCTAACTCATGATGCCAGACGTTATCTGTAACCCTCCGTAATACTACCAAGGCCGTAGCTGAGAGTTCACATTATTGTTACCGTACAGCGAGCACACGGCGATAGAAGTGCAGTACGCAAGTACGGGATTAAAGCTGCAAACTAAACTTGAGGTATGCAAGCCGTCAAGCGTTCCGACGGTATTGAGGGCGTAAGGGAAGGGTACAGTAACTGAACTGTTACCGTTACAATACGGCAATGGAAGTGCAGTATGAAAATACGGGACTGAAACCGTACCCTTCCCTTACGCCTTCAATACCGTCTGAACACTCGACGGCTTGGATACCTCGAGCTAAGTTTGCGGCTTTAGTCCTGTACTTGCGTACTGCGCTTCTATTGCTGTATGTCTGCTGTACAGAAATGATAATGTAAACTGTCAGCTACGGCTTTGGTGGTATTACGGAGGGTTACAGATAATGTCTGGCATCATGAGTTAGCGCAGTACGGTTCTGTAATATAACGGCACTTTTTTTAACAGTGTATATTATGCTGTGATTGAAATTCTGTTCTCGTGAATTTGACACGCCGTATACGAAAAACACAATGAGTATTAAAACTTGGTTTGGGGCTGAGGCGTATGAAGATGTTAACCATTAGGTCTCAGATTAATGAGGGTGAACGCAGTACAGCTGCATTTGCATCTTCGGGTGTCAGTCGTCCCAGCTCTTCTTCTTAGAAGTTGTTTAGATTTCGATGTCTGTTGTGTGAATCTTCTTTCTTTCGTCATTCTGTACTGCCTTGGTCGATTGTTAAGGAGACACATCATGTATAAGATTAATAAATTGTAGTGTTTTCTAGCTGAGGAACAACCTTAGGTGTCTACTTCTGCCGGTTCATAGCTCCAGTCCTGAACAACAAGACAACAAGGCTGAAGAGGCAGCGGTGGCTCCAGAGTAGAATCCCTTAAAGGGACCATGAAATTACTTTTTTACTTTTTCCAGATAACTTTTACATTAAACCGTCAATGTTCACTGAATGCCGAACAGGCATCCGTTTTCGTCTCGGTTTATTAACTTCTACGCAAAAAATTAATAAAATATCGACTTTTTCTTGACCGCAAAACAATCCGTGACGTACGCTATTTCCGGAACCGGAACTTCTCTCGGCAGTAGGAGATGGGAGCATTAGCGGCGACGAGTCGGGGTGCGCCGGTAGGTTTTACTGCGCCGATGTCACCGATGTATTTTCTGAATCGGCGCCTCTCATCGCCGCATCGCAGCTGAGCGAAATTCAACGAGATATGTTGCGCTACAGCGACAGCATGGGACTATACTCTGTTTCATACTTAGCGTGCAACGTTGTCAAAGCTACTGGCGCGAGCGTGGGGCTTGATCTCGTTGATCATTTGCACGCCTTCTCGCGCAAACAAAACCTTAGATGAAGCCACGCGCTCGCGCCAGTAGCTTTGACAGCGTTGCACGCTAAGTATGAAACAGAGTATTAGCCCCGAGAAGTTCGCGTGGCGCCCCCTTACGGCGAACCGGGGTGACGTCACGGCGAGGAGAGAATTTTTCCCCGACTCGCCCCGATCGCCCTGTGGAGGCTGTGACGACGCTAGCTGTCGGCGCGCCGTTTCTATTCAATATTTTTTTCGCGTGTTTTTCGTAGGTAGTGTAAATTTTTATATGTGCCTTTATTGAGGTATGGCCTGTAGCTACAGGTGAAACTTCAGCCAACATTTGAAGCATGGTTGACAGGGCAGGCAACGCATGAATCGCAACTGGTATATGAAAATGAAGAAATATGGCCACAATTGCAGGAGCATCACTATAGATTTACATTTCGCACAATACATGCTGCTGATAGTCTGAATGAATGAGCAGGTTATGTATACTATATTTTTTTTGTATCTCTGTTTTTAAACAAGATCGCCGAAGCAGAAAAGTTGTTCGAGCAACATACTAAATACAGTCTGGGCCATGGGGAGAGAATCACAAGTACGACAGCCCAATTGCGGGGGCAAAGTAAAAAAAACAAAACAAGATACATTTATAATATACATTGCTCGCATTTGACCTTTGCTGGATTCGGATAGTATTTCAATGGACTACATGGGTGGTATCTGTGAACTTGTTTATATCAACCCTCGAGTAATGTATAACAAACGTAAGCGAGGGTGTCTAGCTTGTTATTAGTCCCTTAAGCCCTAAAATTGAGATTTTACTTAAATCGAATCGTCTTGAAGCTAAAATATCAGAAGCTTTTCTCACGCAGACTGTCGCCCTTCACAGGTTCCACATTTTCTGCTACTATAGTCAGTTACAGGTTAAGAAGGTAGCGGCAAATGCCCCTCAAAGGGAATCAAATATCCCTCCGCCACCTCCGTATCCAATAGCGTCCCACCGTTTCCGTGACGTCGCGGCCAACGCGCGAGGAGGGTCTTGCCTTTCTGTATCATATTTGCTTTATCTTTCGACTTTGACTTAGCATTGTGGAAGCGACGAGAGGGAGATTAGAGTTTTACCCCACCGACGGAAACAAATACGACGTTTGGGGATTAGCTTCCCCCCTTCGATGGATACAAAGGCTGCTTTCAGGGGCTCGGTTCCCTCTCTGATGAATACAAAGGTAGCTTTCTTAAAAAGTGGGATCGGAGACAAGTGGGAATCCATTGAAGCGGAACAAGGAGCGTTTCCAGTGAACTCTTCTTTCGACTGCGGAGAGATTTGAAACGGGCGCATCACCGATTATGGGAGGAGCTTCTCCTACCTTCTTGACCTGTAACCGACTATAGTGCTGTATCTACCACTGGACAGACGTTCGAATGCTTGCTTTTACTCCTGTTTTCCTCTGTTGTCAGAGAGTACAGCTGTAGGGAGTGTGGAGGCTGAGGAAGCTTTTGGGGACCTGCAGCAGTGTCTTTTTTAATTGAAAATGACAATTCAGACCCAACAGTGTATTTTCCGAATACCAAAGGCTGGAACAAAGAATGTCAGGAAAAAGTATAACCATTCCAAATTACGGCACTATTGCTGTGCATATTTTTGGCAGTTCAATACATATCATACAGGCAACTGGGGGCAATTCAGCCGTTTTTGCTGCTACCATACAAACTAATTTCCAGTAATCGTGCATCTTCTAAGAAATATGCCTGCATACGTGTATAAACTATATAATTAATTCACGAAGAAGCTAGATTTATGTAAAACGGCAATCTTGCGAGGGGTCGGTGAAGCGGTGGCGCAAGTGTTTCAGACGGTAGAGTTCTGTTCCTTGCATGTTCATGATTTAGGACGATATTACATCCCGCTTTCAAGGCATTTGAAGTGGCATTTATATCACGGGCCTTTGGGTGGTCGGCAAATTAGCTCGCGACCCGACTCTGCGCTGCCACTCTGCATGCGCTGGTTCGCAGATGTTTTAAAGGCCCTGCGTCTGATGATCTTTGAAGTGCTAATTGAACAGCGTTGTTTTACAGGTAAAGATGTCGCTGGTCTGCCGCTGGCGTGGCCTAAGAAGAGGGGAGGAGCCTGGGAGAGGGGAGGGGGAGGGGCTATTGCGGAGCGCCAATGGCGAGGTGCGCGGAGGGGCGCGCGCCGGGAAGCAGGCACGGAGGCTGCGGGCTCCTATTTCAGTTGCTTTGTCGGAGTACAGATGGCGCTAGGAGCGCGCTGTCGCGTGGAGTGGGGAAGGCGGGGCAGGCGGGCGCAGCAACGACGCGGACACCTCTTTGAGTTGCTTTGTCAGAGTACAGATGGCGCTACGAGCGGCGCAGTGCGCTCGTGACGGTTGTGCGCCTTTGCGCTACGCGGTGAAACGGGCGCACGGTCGCACTAGCGACGCCGGCATGTTGTCGCAGCCCTGTCGCGACGGCTCTTGCGGCGCGCCGCCGTGTTTCGCTGGCTTTTGACGGCTTTGCGCTCGGTCGCGCGTCGTCGCTCTCTGCGCGCTTTAGCGCTAGTCACGCGATGAACTTGGGGTCCCTTTCGTGCGCGCTTTTAAACTGCAGATGACGGGGCTCTGTTGCGCTTTTGAGTTTATACATTTGAACAGTGATTGCAGTGATGTCTTGTAAAATTTAATCGGATTATATAAAACCATCCCTGATTGATAGACAGTTTGACGTCTATTTTTAGGTTATTGTCGTATCAATACCGCTTTTCTTCTAGCAGTCTTCTAGCTGAAAGGCTCAATATATAAAAAAAAGAAACGCATTACGTATAGTGCTGGTACCTGATCCCCCCCCCCCCCCCCTCCCGCTCACTAACGGAGATGAAAGCGGGGAACAGAAATAACTCTCGTATAGTAATAAAGTTATCATTTTTGCATGAAAAAGCAACGGTAGAAAATTGCGAAGGGAAATAAATTTCCTTATCACATATTTATGTTTTCTTTTCACATTTTTTTCGTTAGTTTCAGTACGGATATTGTGATCCGAAATCGGAGCAAGCAAGCCCAAAGACACAACTACGCAAAGCAGCAGAGACTGGGTTAAAGAATTATACATATGTCATTTTGGGACTCCACAATTAGCTCACATTCCTCACCTACCTTCAAAACAACTTCTCACAAGGTGTATCGAGTGATGAAAAAAAAATACAGTAGAGATATTTCGACTTGTGTACGTGATCAACCTATCGCGCGAGCACGGACATAGCAACCGGAGCAGCTATCATCCAAGCATTTGAGACTGCTGCCGGGCGAAAACAATAAAAATGAAGGAACAGCTGCACTGCGCGATAAACCGGCCCTCACGTTAGGGTGCCCGTTTGGAATTTTGCTTTTTGTGGTGGTGCTCAGATACGGGTTCCCCACCAATGCAAGCCTCGTCATCGTCCGTTCATTAGAGCTCAGTTATAAAATTTATTGAGGTTTTTCGTGTTTTGTTTTTTTGCTTCCAAAGCACCTGTCAACGTGCTCCTGGCACTACTTGACCGCGC